TGATCCCTCAAGTTCCCATGTATCCCCCCCACCAGTCTACCCAGGACCACTCTTGGGCATATACCCAAAGGATGTTCAATCATACAAGGACACTTGCTCAACTATGTTCATAGCAGCTTTATTCGTAATAGCCGGAACCTGATACAACCTACATGCCCCTCAACTGAAGAATGGATAAAGAAAATGTGGTACATATACACAGTGGAGTATTACTCAGCTGTTAAAAACAATGACATCAGGAAATTTGAAGGCTAATGGATGGAACTAGAAAAAAAAAGCATCCTGAATGAGGTAACCTAGACCCAGAAAGACAAACATGATCTGTACTCACCCTAAGTGGCTATTAGCTGTAAGTAAAGGATAACCATGCTACAATCTACAGACCCAGAGAGGCTAGGTAACAAGGAGGGCCCTCCCCAAGGAGGGGAGGGGGTGAAATGGATCTCCCTGGGAAGGGGAAATAGAACAGTTTTTTTTTTTCTTAAATCATAGCAACAGAAAGTAAAGTAAACAACCCATTCTAGCAACCTTGCATAGCCACTTCCTTTAGATTTTTGAGGTTTTGTCGCTAGGATCAGCAAACTTATCTCCTTTCTCTATAGAGAGATTTTCATTGAGACTGGAAATTGATGTGGGTGGTACTGCACACTAGGGATGTTTTTACACACTTGTTCTCTACAGAGAGAGAGAGAGAGAGAGAGAGAGAGAGAGAGAGAGAGAGAGAGAAATTTCCCACAGTCAGGCTTATTTTTGGCATTTAATATTTAATAGGTGGGACCCAAGATTGCTAGACATTTAGAAATTGTGCAGAGCACTTCCACAGTGAGGGACATTCTTATACTTACGACTTTGAATGATTCTGCCAGTCTTTCATGTTGATTAAAAATCCACTGAAATGATTATTTATCTTCAGGGGTTTTTGTATGTTTATTTTTAATTTAGAGACAAATGTTCCTTAAGTAAACTGGGTGGTATTTGGGATCCTCCTGCTGTACCCTCTAAAATCTCTGAAATTATAGGGGTGTGAGTGGTTTAAATATGAAACAGACTTTTTTTTTTCTCACCTTGTGTTTATGAGTGTTTTGCCTCCATGTACGTGCATGCCGGGTGCTTTCGAGCATCATTGGTAACTGGAATTACCAATGACTGTGTGGCATGATGTAGGTCCTGGGAACTGAAGCTGGGTCTTCTGCAAAAACAAGATCTCTTAATTTCTGAGCTATCAGAGGCAGGTGGATCTCTGTGAGTTAGAGGCCAGCTTAGTTTACATAGTGAGTTCCAGGACAGCCAGGGCTACATAGAGAGACCTTCTCTCAAAGCAAAACAAAACAAAACTCCCAAAACAAACAAACAAAAAAAAATGTTTATTATCCCAGGTATTTTGCCACAGTAACAAAAAGATAACCAAAATGATGGCTCAGTTACCATGGGCGGAGTTAACTCCACGATCTTCCTGCCTGAGTCTTCTGAGTACTGGGATTAACCGTGCGTGCCACCATTCCGGATGTATCATAGCTTCAGTTCACAATCTCCTGACTCTATTGCTTTTGGCCGGGGGCAAAGCAGTTCATGGATGGGGTGGGGTGGGGTGGTAATCACTGGCAGAGGAAACTGTTCACTTCCAGGGTGGATGGGGGGAAAGAAGAGGGAGAGAAGGGATCTGACTTTCAGAGTCTCTTCAAGGGCACACTCTCAAGAGATTTAACCACCTCCCCATAGCTGGCCCAGACTGGCAGTCATGCTTTTAGCACATAAGCCTTGGGGGGATTTTTAAGATACGCAATACCATCAGAACATGACTGTATTGGCTAGGGATGCAGCACAGTTAGTAAAGCTGGCCTGGCCCTGAGTATGAATCAGGGGAAACGAACAAACCAACCCGGGCGTGGTTCGCACAAGCCTGCAATCCCAGTATTGGCGATTACACTCCCCGCAGCAGCCCCGCCCTCAGCCCCGCCCAGGTCACTGCCCGGCCCGCCCACAGCCCAGCCTCTCCCGTGCGCCTCCGTGGGGTGCGGGTGTCCTTCCAGTTCCCTGTTTCCAACCTCTCCACTGGCTGACCCAGGCCGCTTTCTGCTTTCTGCTGCCTGTTGCGACGAACCAACGCGCCCCTCCTTGTGCCCAGCTTTTCCAGTCCCGAGCGCAGGTAGAGAGCCCTGGCTGAGACCTGTGTGGCTGGACTCTGGGAAGGGCCTCGGGGCGAGCGCAATGCAGCCGCCTAGTCCTTCCGGGCACCCAAGGGTGTGTGTGTGGGGAGGTGGGGGGCAGGTGCCTTTTGCCTTAAGTGCTCCGAGAAGGAATGCGTGTCACAAACGAGGGGTGTTGTGAGCACTGTTAGCCCCAGAATCTCGCTAGATTGTCCACCACGCTTAACAGAGAGGTGGACGCTAAGGTGCTTAATAGCAGGCCTTCACGACATCCTGAGACCTGGATAACGTCTGAAGTGTTGGCCCCAGTTGTGAGGCCAGAGAAAAGGGGCGGGAGGTAGAAGTGGAGGCAGATATACATGCTTGTATATTAACAGAAAGTGAATGCTAGTATAAAACTGCCAAGAGCAGTTGTCTCTGAGACATGGGGGAAGAACTTCTAAGATTTCCGATTCGGCTCATCTGAATCTCCATAAACTCCAGGGAGGAGAAAAATTAACATGTCTTTGTTTTTCTGTTAACTTAATTTTTATTTTTTTATTTTATTTTAGTTTTTTTTTATTTTTATTTTTGTTTTTCAGTCTTGGATTATGTGGTTGGATGGTGTGGTTGTGTATGTCTTTAATCCCAGCACTGGGGAGGCAGAGGCAGGTGGTCCTCTGTGAGTTGAAGGCCAGCCTGGTCTATATCATAGTTCCAGGTCAGCCAGACCTACATGGTGAGACCTTGTCTCAACAACAAATAAATAAACAAACAAGAAAATAAAATATAAGATTAATTCTGAGATTCATTATTACTCCTTGTGTGTGGGGTGTATGTGTGTACACGTGCTTGTGTGTATATACAAGAGTATAAACAAGTACAGAGGCCCTTGGCGCATCAGGTGTTGTACTCTATGGCTTCCCATCTTACTGTGGTAGGCTGGCTGGCCAGCTTGCTGTACGAATCCTCCTGTAGACACTTTATCAGCTGACCTATCTTCCTAGCTCCTCACCCCGTTTGGACAAAATCTCCTATATTCCAGGGTGGCTTTGATCTTTTAACCTGCTGGGTAGCCAAGGATGACCTTGAACTCCTGATCCTCCTGCCTCTGCCTCAAGTGCTGAGAGGACAGGTGTGTGCCACACCTCTCCTTTTGCTCCCCCCCACCCCAGTACAGAGACAGGAGGGGAATAAGCCGGACACATTTTCTTTTGAGCAAGGGTGTGTCCCTGTAGCTCCCATGGACCTGGGATTTTCTGTGCAGCCAGGCTGGTCTTTCTCATGCCCTCCTCTTCAGCTGGGGTTCCAGGCAGGTCACCACCAGGCCAGGCTTTCTTTTCCCTCTACGCTTTGCCTTTTCCCCACCTTGTTTCCTTAGAATTCACCCTGGATGAATTAAAGGGGGGGGGCAATAAGATGGCTCAGTGGCTGAAAGTCTTTGCTGTGTGATCCTGACCACCTGAGTTCACTCCCTGATCCCACGGTGGTAGGAAAGAACCAACTCCCAAGGGTTGTCCTCTGACCTCACACATGCTGTGACATGTGTGCCTGAACTTGTACATACACCTCTCCCTGCAACACATACATACACATGCTCACACACACAATAATAATTATTAATAATCATCATAATCTAATTTTAAAAAGAAATAAAAACATTGCTTGTTCTTTGCCTATCACTGGCACAAACAGATGAATATGGAGTTGGTATGTTTCTAATGTAACTTACCACCTGTTCTTTCCCTCTAGGCGTATGTTGGTTGTGTTGAAGCTATGGAGAAACTCTGTGGGCGTGTGCCTGTCCACTCAGACATCCTCTCCTTGGAGAACCAATGCCTGACCATGCTCCCTGACCTCCAGCCCCTGGAAAAACTACATGGATGTACATCTGTCCATCCAGACATTCTCTCCTTGGAGAACCGGTGCCTGACCATGCTCCCTGACCTCCAGCCCCTGGAGAAACTGCATGGACACACATCTGTCCACCCAGACATCCTTTCCTTGGAGAACCGGTGCCTGTCTATGCTTCCTGACCTCCAACCCCTGGAAAAACTGCATGGACATATGTCTAGTCACTCAGACGTCCTGTCTTTGGAGAACCGATGTCTAGCTACCCTATCCACTGTAAAGAGCACTGTATCTACCAGCCCCTTGCTTCATGTATCTCACAAGATGCAAGCTGATGTGTGTAGCCCGCACACTAGCAGTTGTCTGTTCCCCGAGCCTCCTTCCAAGAAGGTTCCGTGTTTCTCTGACAATCTAGACCTTCCAACTTGTTCCAGGGCTCCGAAATCCATCTCTGCTACTACTCAAGTTCAAGAAGCAGCTTTGGTAATTGTCTTTGGATGCTGATCTTGACTCTAGCCAAATCTGTTATGTTGTTATCACTAGGTTTCAGTGCCTTAGTTTCCTTCTCTGATGACCTGTGTCTAGGGAATTTCTCTCAGCATTTTTGGTATCAGCCTTTTGGTTCTTTTGGACAGTTCTAGGAACTGAACTCATAGGCATGAACATGGTGGGTAGGTGCTCTACTACTGAACTACATTTCCTTTTCTGAGTTAGTCTTTACCTTAGGGCTGTCCTCACTGGCATCTTTATTCTTATCAAGTATCTAGTACAGAGATTCTAGGTCCTTGTCTTTAAGAAAGCCTGTGATCGGGAAGAACGCCAGCATAATTATGACCACAGAGTTAGCTGGGTGCGTCCAAGGTTACACACGCAGTATATCTACTATGCCAGAACTCACTTCCTTGTATACTTGTGTGCTAACACATATCCATTCAACAGATCCATATAAGCACATTTAGTATGTAGATCAGAACTGGCAGACAGGAACACATTTCCTCTGTGAACACTTGGGGGAAAGTTTACCTGAATCTTATGGCGTCTCTGTTAACTATGAAGTATGCAGCCTTATGCAATGCTAATAATATCCCCTCTGGAGCTTTAATTTCCCCATCTTTCAAATCAAGCCGGTAAAAAGAAGCTTCACAGAGTTCTGGTTCAAAGTGCAACTGCTGTTACCCTACTGTGATTTAGGGCTTTGCAATTTGTAGAGTCAAACATAACATTATTCCATTGAGTTTTCCAACAGTCCTATCAGGGAGGTAGTAGTGAATGAAGAAGCTCTTTACTTATGGGGCATTGATATGGGGCTTGACATTCTTCTGACTCAGAAAACACCGCACTGCATTTAGAAGGTATATGAGAGACCTTGGGCTCCCAGACTGGCAGTCATGTGATGGCAGTGTGGAAGTGCTGGTAGCCATGTGTGTGTGTGTGTGTGTGTGTGTGTGTGTGTGTGTGTGTGTGTGTGTGTGTGTATAGGGGAGGGGGCGGAGCCACAGGTGACCATTGCGGTTCAGAATGGGATGTTTCCATGAGATAAACACATTACCTTACAGGCAGTGGGGAGTCTCCCCACACCCATTTCAACCATGTCAGATATCAGAGATAGCAACAGCAAGCATGCAAAGGCAGAGCAGAAGCAAAAGACATTCCGGGGCCTGTGGTCTCAGGGGGGCCTTGCCTACCCAAGAATTATCCCCCAGAGGGTTGCCTCCTGGCGGGGCGACACACTGAACCTCAACCGTCACCTGTTGTGCCCTGCATGCTCCCTCCCACCCCCGCCCCAAACATGGTACCAGCAAGGAAAAGTGCAGAGCATCTGGACAAAAATCTTAGAAGCCTGCATAGAGTAAGTCAGTGTGAAAAAGAGTACCAGGCTAGAGACAGGGCTGACCCGTGTAGGGGTGAAGGCAGGGGGGTTATTAGTTTAGAGATGTGGACCTTCCCTGTCTCTGGGAGACACTTCCAATCCCACTTTGAGGGCTATGAGCACACGGTGTGATTTCTAACTGCCACTGTTTCTAGGGTCAGTGGCACTTCTCAGAAGACAAGAAAGTGCAGGAAGAGAAAGAGAGAGGACAAGTCCAAATGCCTCTCTATAGTCTAAGCCTGGGAGAGGAAGAGGAGCTGGATGCACCCGTCCTGAAACTCACATCTGGAGACTCGGAATCTTATCCCGAAACCACTGACCGGGTCCTCCAGGAAAAGAAGGTAAAACCTGGGACATTGGTGGTCGAGGGAATGGTGAGGATGGAGACCGGAACCAGGGCTTCTCCCTAGGAAGGTGGCAGAGGGGACATGATCCTGTTCTTATTTCCTATTTATTTTTTGTTTGTTTGTTTTGTTGTGTTGTGGTTTTTTTTTTGTTTTTTTTTTGTTTTTTTTTTTTTTGAGACAGGGTTTCTCCATGTAGTTTTGGTGCCTGCCCTGGATCTCACTCTGTAGACCAGGCTGGCCTCAAACTCACAGAGATCCGCCTGGCTCTGCCTCCCGAGTGCTGGGATTAAATGCGTGCGCCACCACCGTCCGGCTGTTCCCTATTTCTTCTTCTTCTTCTTTTATTTTTTTTTAATTTATTCATTTATTATGTACACAGAAGAGGGCGCAGATCTCATTACAGATGGTTGTGAGTCACCATGTGGGTGCTGGGAATTGAACTCAGGTCCTCTGGAAGAGCAGCCAGTGCTCTTAACCTCTGAGCCATCTCTCCAGCCCCTGTTTCCTACTTCTTAATTCATTTGTCCAACCTGTCAGTTGAACAGACATCTCTCTGAACCTGGAGTCCATTCTTTCTGTGTTTTTGTTTTTAATGCCTATTGAGTATTTGTCTGTTTGTGTAGACATTCAGTGTGTCTTGTGCTTGTGGAGGTCAGAAAGGATCTCAGATCCCTCTCCATATGGTGGCACACAACTTTCAGTCCTAGTGCATGGGAGGCAGAAGCAGATGGATCTCTGGGAATTTGAAGCCAGCCTCGTCTATAATACTGAGTTCTAGCGAGGGCTACAAACGGAGACTCTGCCTCTTCCCCCTAAAAAAACGTTGCATCCTCTGGAGCTGAAGTTAAAGGAAGTCATGAGCCACCATGTGGGTCCTAGGAACTAAACCTGGGTCCTCTGCAAGGGCAGCCAGTGCTCTTAACCACGGAGGCATTCATTCCTCCAGCCCCTCTGTCCTTGATTGCACATGTTGGTCTGTTCTGTGTAGATCCTTATTTGCTCCCCCTTTCTTCTGTGTTGCCCAATTCTTAGATGGCTCTCTTGACCTTACTGTGCTCTGCCCTGGCCTCACATATAAATGTAAAAGATGCATCTGACCGTACCCGGGCATCCATCCTTGAAGTCTGTAGTGAGCTGGCCCCCTTGGAACCTGAGTTCATCCTGAAGGTATTGTGGTATGAAGGAATGGGGAGAAGAGGGAAGCTGGGAGATATTAGTGCGGTTATGATATGAAGAGCTGGTAACTGGCTCCTTGTAGGGGTGGAAAGCATGTTTGCTCAGGAAGGGAGCAAGATGTCTGAGTGAGTCTGGGACCTAATCCCCGGGGTTCTGTGGAGTGGAGAACGGTGAGATGGGGGGAGGTATACTAGGATTGGGTTTGTACAAGCTAAATGCACAGTGCTAGGCTGTGGGAGTCTTGTTAACATGATGAAACTTGGATCTGGTTCCAAGACAGTAAAACACTTCCCCAAATATCGTGTGTGGAGTTGATAATGGGTGTTTCAGAAGCAGAGAAGAGGCATGTTCTAGGTTCATTCTGTTGCTGTGATAAGTCACTCTAACCAAAAGCAACTTAGGGAGGGAAAGGGATTTTTTTCTTATACTTCCAGGTCACAATCCATCACTGAGGAAGGTTAGTGCAGGAACTTGAGGTAGGAACCATGGAAGAAGACTGCTTGCTAGCTTATACAGGCATGATGATGCTTAGCTTTCTTTCTCTTCTTTTTTTATTTACATTTTTACTTTTATTTAATGTAACAAGAATATGCATATGTATATGTATACATAGAGCTCAAAGGATTGTCACAAAAGGAACACAGTTGTTTAATCTGGCTAATTAGTTCCTGAGACAGAACCTCACCACAGTCTCTCCCAGAACCTCCTGCAGACCCAGTCCCTGTCACTTCCTCCTTCAGTAAAAACAGCCACTGCCCTTAGAGAAGTGGCCCAGTAAGGAAAAAGCAGCCCTGAGTTGGATCCTCCTTGCTTGGGGGAAAGGGATGGGGCCAATTAGTATACTCACTTCAAACACTGATTCTCAGTGTCAGAGAGAGAGAATTATACTGTGGGCTTTTCTGGGGAAGGAGGGCAATATTTTGCCAACATTGTGACGTTGATTCACAGTGTTGCTTACAGCTGAAGCTTGCTGTTGTTGTAAGGTAGACTCTATACCACAGCTTATCTATGCTACACTTCAGTAGTGAATTATTTGTACTTCTAGGCCATCACAAATAATGTTGTTATGAACACACGTGCCATTTCAGTGTACACGTACAAGCACTTTTATTGTGTATTTTTGCACCAAGATTTAAAATTTCAGATGCTGATCAACCATAATTCAAAAGTATTTATACCAATTCCAACTCTTTAACTAGCTTTCTTATACAGTCCAGGATCCTGTCTAGGGATAGTGCCACCCATAGTGGGTGGGCCCTCCTTCACCAATTAGAAATTAAGACAAATCTCCCCCAGCCATGCCCATGGGCCAGTCTGATCTAGGGCGGAAATGTTTTTATGGGGCTTTGGAAGACAACAGGTTTAATCAGCATTTTGAACCCTGGGTAAGCTTTTTTTTTTTTTAAAGTTATAGTACTTTTACTTAGAAATAATCTTGATAGATAGTGAGTATCTGACTTAATATAATTTAGCATAATTCTGAGGCTGAAAGTCACCAAAAAGACTTCAGAAACTGCCTTCAGGAAGATCGTAACTAGTTATCAGCTTGTTATTTCTCAACTTCTTTACAACACATCTCTGTTGCAATTGGTAAGTTTTTGATAGATGCGGGCATGAAGGATCTTCCAAACAAAGTCTGGTTGACTTAGAAGATGGTCAGTAGACTGAGACGATGCTTGCACTTTATATTTTGTGGGTGTTGTGGGGTGCTCAGGAAAGCTTTGGTTTTATACTGACAGAGTCAATGAGCAAGGGCATGGAGCTATGAGATAAGTGACAGCATGCCAACCTTCTCACCCTCCACCCTAGGCATCTCTGTATGCTAGGCAGCAGCTTAACATCCGGGAATTAGCCAATGCAGTTTTGGCTATAGCTGCCTTCCTGCCGGCCTGCCGCCCCCATGTGCGACGGTATTACTCGGCCATTGTTCACCTGCCCTCCGACTGGATCCAAGTAGCCGAGTTCTATCAGGTATGGTGTCTAGTACCCTGCACTTTGACCTTCACGGTCTTCGCTTGTTTGTTTGTTTTGCTTATTGTTTCCTTTGTTCGCTGAGGAGATTTTTCAGAGAGAGTAGCCTCTTCCTCGGTCTTCTTCCATCCAAGTGCCCAGAGGGAACATGTTTTCTCTGTAAGAGCCGAGTGGACTAATAAAATAGACAAGGGCTGGACCAAAGTTTGAGGGAAAAAAAAAATTGACCTTATTCTGGACATCCTTTATAATGATGACATTGAGCTCAGAGAGGATCGCTGACTGGCCTTGTTCACGGAAATGTGGGAAATAGTTCCCTATTCTTTTCTGTGTAACTCTAGGGTCCTGGGGCGTGTGTGTGTGTGTGTGTGTGTGTGTGTGTGTGTGTGTGTGTGTGTGTTAGGGGTGGGAGGTCGGGTCTCTCTTCTGCTGATCCCCTCTTTCCTCCACAGAGCCTGGCAGAAGGAGATGAGAAGAAGCTGGTGCCCCTGCCTGCCTGCCTCCGCGCTGCCATGACCGACAAATTTGCCCAGTTTGATGAGTACCAGCTAGCTAAGTACAATCCACGGAAACACCGAGCCAAGAAATGTCCTCGCCGGCCACCCCGACCCCAAGTCAGTCCTTGCCTCAGCCCTGGGCCTGCGTTCACAGCGCCTTTTCTCTGGGAAGGGAGGGATATGGGAACATGGTGAGCTTCGGGGCACCAACGCTGAAGTATCTGACATGTTCGTACATCAGAGAACAGGGGAGCCAGAGAGGTCCAGGTGACCGGCGTGGAGCTGGGGCGGGAGAGAACAGGGTCACCCCCTGTGGACTCCCCACCTAATGGGCAGAGATATTCTTTCAGGGCTCCTGGAACGGGAATCTCCAGGGGCAACTTCTGTTTCCCTGTCTGAAGACATTTCTCTTGTCCCCGTAGAAAACAGAACAACCATTTTCAGAGCGAGGGAGATGTTTTCCAAAGAGCCTTTGGCCCCTTAAAAACGAACAGATTATGGTGAGTCACTTGCTTGGGGGTTGTCTGTATGTGTGCACAATCCCTTCTGATTTAGAAATTAATTTAAAAATTTCTAAAATTAATTTAAAAATTATTAATTTTTTTATTTTTATATTTAGAAATTAATTTTTAAAAATTCCAGTAGCCAGTGTGGTAGACATTTACTTGTCTTTACCTGGGCAATCTCAGGTGTCATTATGTGGTTTGGTTCAGAGGGTAAAAGGATGGGATCTTTACTTTATTTATTTATTTATTTATTTATTTATTTATTTATTTGGTTTTTCGAGACAGGGTTTCTCTGTGTAGCTTTGCGCCTCTCCTGGAACTCACTTGGTAGCCCAGGCTGGCCTCGAACTCACAGAGATCCAACTGGCTCTGCCTCCCAAGTGCTGGGATTAAAGGCGTGCGCCACCACCGCCCGGCAGGATCTTTTTAAAATCTCTGTTGTTCTTGGTGTTATGCCTTGTTGACAGATGACATATCCAGTCGGATAAATGAATTTTAAAATGTTATAAAAGTATCTCCACACGCCATATAAAGTTTTTTTTTAATTTTATTTTATTTGTTTTATGGTACCTGTGTTGCGTCTGGGTACCACATATCTGCCTAGTGCTCTTAGAAGCCAGGAGAGGGCCCCTAAAATCCCTTGGGTTTAGAATTAATGACATTTGTGAGTCACCATGTGGTTGCTGGTAACTGAGCCCGGGTCCTCTGGAAGAGCAGCCAGTGCTCTTAACCACTGAGCCATCTCTCCAGCCCCTCACAGAGGGTTTTCAAAACAAACGATGCTGCCACTGTTATAGGCTTATGATACAGATAAGAGTTGCCTTCTTTTTCCTTGTCTGAGAGAATAGGGTGTTCTCTGTTCTTTTCTTTTTTCTTTCTTTCTTTTTTAAATAAGCCAATCACCCCATAGTAACCCCTGATAGTTTAATCTTATATAAATGAAACACAGGGACTCCCAGAAAGCTGTTGTCTTTTCCCCCCTTTATTATCTTTTGGAACCCAAAGAACTGTTAACTTCTATTTCTGTTTTGAGCTCGTCGTCCATGCTGCCCATGCTGCCTTGCATGCATGGGACCTGTTGTGTAGTTCTTTTGCCTTAGCCTTCCTGGTTGCTGGGGCTGTAGGAGTGTTGATGCTGCAGTGTTGATGCTGCAGTGTGTAGCTGCAGTGTTGATGCTGCAGTGTGTACCTGCAGCTCTGTCCTTGGGCCCCCCTTCCTTCCTGCAGGGTTTCCCCTGCTGTTGCTATCCTTGGTCCAAATCGGTTTTAGAGAATGAAATTGCCTCAATGGTATAGGCTCGCTTTACGCTTTACTTCCTGATCTGTATGGCAGGCATATGCTTTTATTTCTGATACCCCGTTGATCGTGGATGAAATGAACTCTGGGGTGCTCGGGGCTGTTTCCACAGTTTGAAGCAGCTTACAACGCGGCGCCAGCGAAAAAAAGTCCGCCAAGGTTCACTCTGAAGAAGTTGGTAGAGCAATTGCACATCCATGAGCCTGCCCAGCACGTCCAGGCCCTGCTGGGCTACAGGTGAGACACTGGATCTCAAGCACATTCCATTGCCGTGACCGTCCCGGTTCATCCTCGGCTCTAACTGTGGCAGTTCTCGGCAGACCACGGTGTGAGCCGAACTTTGGCTCATTTCTACTTCGGTTAGCTTTGGAACGATAGGTGCTTTCTTCCCTCTCCTAGGTACCCAGCCACCCTAGAGCTCTTTTCTCGGAGTCACCTCCCTGGGCCGTGGGATTCTAGCCGAGCTGGGCAGCGGATGAAGCTCCGAAGGCCAGAGACCTGGGAGCGGGAGCTGAGCTTGCGGGGGAACAAGGCTTCTGTCTGGGAGGAACTCATAGGTAGGTGGCCCTGACCACCGTGGTCCTTTCCGGTCTTCCCCGTTCACGTGTTGGAGATTTCCACAAAATGGTGCAGTTCTTTTGCAAGTTAACTTACACAAAGAAAAATGATGGGAATTGTGACGTTTGCTATTTACCATACCGCTGTGGGCGGTGGAACTCGCTTTAAATAGTGTTGATGTCTTAGGTTGATCATTATTCCAGATGTACTTAGATGATACACAAGTCTTCAGAAACGCGGGACAAAAAAAGCGGTACCTTTTCCCTGTTTGTACCTGTATCAATATATCTGTAATTTATTCCAAATGAGGTAGGATTCGATCATGAGGTGTTAGAACTTCTGTAGAAATTCATGTAGGACCTGGAAATTTTAATTATTTCCCAATACTGATAAAAGAGAAAAAAAAATTCATATTGGGGAAGACCAAATTACCAGTCTTTTCTTTCTTCCTTTGTTGAATATTTTTAACTGTGAAAGGCTCTGTCATGCTTTCTTTTTTTAAAAGGGTTTATTTTATTGTGCATATGTGCATGTGAGTGCAGGTGTCCCCAGAGACCAGAATCGGGCATTGGATACCCTAGAGTCGAGTTATAGGAGTTCCTCTACAAGAGCTGTCCTCACTATTAACTGCTGACTCACTCTCTTCAGTCCATTTTGAGGGCCTGGAAGATGGCTTAATGGCTAAGAACATGGGTTGCTCTTCAAGAGGGGCTGGGTTTGATTCCCAGCACCCACATGGTGGCTCACAACCATCTGTAATTCCAGTTCTAGAGGATCTCATATTCTCTTCCAGCCTCCACAGGACCAGGCATGCCTGTGGTTCACAGACATACATGCAGGCAGAACACCCATACACATAAAATAAATGAATGATTTTAAGAAGAAAAAGAAAGGCTCCATTATATACTTTTCCCTTTGCTTCATCTCTTGTCTTTGGAAATTTCTCTTTGTTAAAATGTATGTAACTTTAGACCTTAATGGAATTTTCTAGACATCCAGTTTTGGAACTTGAGAAGCCCAAATGTCCTTTGCTGGCAGTTATCTACTATACCCAGGGCAGCCTGAATTGCCTGGCTACTTATTATTCTCTCTGTGGGTGTCTCTGGTGATGTGTGTATCAGAATTACCTCGGAATTAAATGCCCACCCCCATCTGATAGCCTTGTCACCAATTCACAAGTTAAGATATAGTGATGAAGGGGCTTGGATGTGGTTAGGTGTGGTGATGCACACTTATAATGCTTGGGAAGCTGAGGCAAGAGGTTGACTAATTTGAGATCAGCCTGGAGAGCCTGTCTCAAGCAAACAGCACAAACAAATAACTAAGAAGGATGTGGCGTTGGGCTGACTCTATATGCATGTCTTTACTTCCTCCTTTCGGCTGAGAATCACTAACCCTGAAAATTTAAATTGTGACATTTACCTTGTTTGAGACTAATACCCATAGACTAAATCCCCTATGGTTAGTTTCTTTTTTCAAATTTTAATTTTATTTACTTATTTTATATGTATAGATAGATGTCTTAGTTCTGTTCTGTTCTGTTGTTGTGAAGAGACATCATGACCGAGGCAACTCTTATAAAATAAAGCATTTAATTGGGGACTTGCTTAAAGTTGTAGAGGTTTAGTCCATTATCATCACGGAGGAGAGCCTGGCGGCATGCATAGCTGGAGCAGTAGTTGTGGGGTACATCCTGATCTGCAGGCAGAGAGAGGGAGGGAGGGAGGGAGGAGAAGGAGGGGGAGAGAGAGAGAGAGAGAGAGAGAGAGAGAGAGAGAGAGAGAGAGAGAGAGACTGGACCTGGCATGGGCTTTTGAAAACTTCAAGGCCCACTCCTACTGACACACTTCCTTGAACAAGGCCACTCCTCTTAATCCTTACAGTCCTTTCAAACAGCATTCAAAGATATGAGTCTGTGGGGGCTGTACTTATTCAAACCATTACAGTGGATGTTTTGCTTGCATGTATATCTGTGAACCACATTTGTGCTTGGGGCCTGAAAATCTCAGAAGAAGGCATTGGATCTCCTTGGACCGGAGTTACAGATGGTTGTGAGCCATTGTGGGTGCTGGGAATTGAACCCAGATCCTCTGGAAGAGCAGCCAGTGCTAAGTCCCGCTCTACTTTTTTATTTTGCGTTAGAGTTTCTTTATATTGTCGAGGCGGTCATAGTTTACCCCCTGCTGAGATTGGAGGCATGCACCTAGCCCTAAAGGCGCGTATTTTCATTCTCTTCTTCTCCCCTCCCTTTTTGAGAACGTCTACCTGTGTAATCCAGGCTCGTCTCAAACTGGAAATCTTTATTCTTCAGGCTCCCCAGTGCTGAGATTTTGTCTCCACGTGTGGTCACCTCGAGTGTTCACCAAGGACAGAACACTGGTCGAGCTGGATCTGGTGCTCACTCACACTATAATCCCACTGACTTAGGTCCATAACCAAACAACTGTTTTCCTTTTTTTTTTTTTTTTAAAGTAATGTTTATTTTTTGAAATTAAAATATAATTGCAGGGTTCCCCCCTTTCCCTTTCCTTGCTCCAAATCTTTCCATGTACTCACCCCTTGCTGTCTCTCAAATTCATGGCCCTTATTTCTTTGTTATATTCCTAAATACAGAAACACAACCTGCTCTGTCTGTATAAAGTAACCTGTGTGTACATGATTTCCTCTGTAGAGGACCTGAGTTCAGTTCGAAGCACCCACATCAGGTGGCTTACAGCCAGCCACCTGTAACTCCAGCTCCGGGGGATACTGTATCCTCTTCTGGCCTCTGTGTGCAAACAAGTGGTATACACTCCCCACACAGACATATCTTTTTAAAAGAAAAGAAATGGTATACACCTTCAATCCCAGAACTCAGGAGGCCGAGGCAGGTGAATCTCTGAGTTTGAGGCCAGCCTGGTCTATAGAGTGAGTTCCAGGACAACCAGGACTAAACAGGGAGACCCGGTTTTGAAAAAAAAGAAAAAGAAACTACACTATCTATTTGCTTGGTGGGGAGGGCACTGTGTGGAAGGTCAGAGGACAGTTTGCTGTAGTCAGTTCTCACCTTGCATCAAGTGGATGGAAAAAGAGGCATGCGTTCTACCATTTGAATCACAACTGAAGCCAACAGATAGTGACATAAGTTGTTATTGAAACACCTGTCCCATAAGCAGAGTTATATAGATTCTACTCTCCGGTCCAGGCCAATCCTTGTGTTGTATTCCTGGATCTCTAGAACATTTTGAGTAGAACGTACTGCAGTCTCCCATTTGAGCTTCTGTGAGGCTCTGTGTTTTCTGCTGTGGGCTGCAGCTCTGTGCCTGTCACTCACTCACGTTGTCCTGTCCCCCACGTCTGAAGACAATGGGAAACTCCCCTTCATGGCCATGCTCCGGAACCTGTGTAACCTGCTGCGGACTGGGATCAGTGCCCGCCACCATGAACTTGTTCTTCAGAGACTCCAGCATGAGGTGAGTGTGATCAGTGGGGAGTGTGTGGCTTGGCAACCGGATGCTGGTCAGGAGATGCTGCATCCCTGGTGGCCAGCTCTTCCACATGGCTGAGAACGGTCTCAGCTAACAGCTGATTTCTGTGTGAGATGTAAGAGGTCTGGAAACACAGATGTGCTGGGAAGGACAGGTCTTGGGGTCAATCTTTCAGAAATTACAATAGAGAGTAATAACTTTTACGTTTACTTTGTAAACTCAAAAACATACAGAAAGGGGCTGGAGAGATGGCTCAGAGGTTAAGAGCACTGACTGCTCTTCCAGAGGTCCTGAGTTCAGTTCCCAGCAACCACATGGTGGCTCACAACCATCTGTAATGAGATCGGGTGCCCTCTTCTGGACTGCAGTCATTCACGCTTTATACATAATAAATGAATAAATCTTAAAAAAAAAAACATACATACAGAAAGATCCTCCTCTATAAATTAACTCACTTCAGGAGCAGTGTGGTATAAAAAAGTTGGGCTCTGGGGGATAGGTGGCTGGAAGAGGGTACGAACACCAGCTGCTCTTCCAGAGGACCTGGATTTGATTCCCAGCACCAATGGCTCACAACCGTCTGTAACTCCATTTTGAGGGGTTCTGGTGCCCTCTTCTTGCCTCTGTAGGTACTGGGCATATACATATGGTGTACATATACACCTAAACACACATGTTTAGGCAAAACACCCATACACATAAAATATTTTTTTTAATTAAAAAAAATGGAAAGAAAGAAATGGGGCTCCTGTTACATCCTCTTTTAACCTCTTTTCATATCTTTCTTCCCTTTCCTCCTCTGTTTCTTCTTGAAATCTATTTTTTTCTCTTTTCCGTCCTCCAAGCCTGGTAGAGTTACTGCTTCATTTCCCTGGTCCTGTAGGCCCCATGACCCTCTTCTTTCCTGGTCCTCTGCTCACAATTCTTCCTTGTTTTTCAGAAATCTGTGATTCACAGTCGGCAGTTTCCCTTCAGATTCCTTAATGCTCATGATTCTATCGATAAACTTGAGGCTCAACTCAGAAAAAACGGTAATTCTTTCTCTTCTGATTCCTGTTTGCCTCTCAAGTGTAAATGAGACAAAACTCAGATAATTTCAGCCTCTTGCTTTGCAGACTTAGGGTGTGGGGGAACCACTGCCCAGACCCCTGCCCACCCGAAGGATAGGGGTTTAGAAGACGAAGGTAATAGACGTTGCCTGACTTGGATATTTTCCTGTTACCACACAGCATTGCCCTTCCCTTCCAATACAACATTGATGAGGCGGATAATGATCAGAAACTCAAAAAATATCAAGAGGCCTGCCCACCGGAGGCGCCTGTGCACCCTGACGCGTCGGCAGCTCCGTGTGGCCATGACTATACCTGTGATGTACGAACAGCTCAAGTGGGAGAAGCTGAGGCTGCACAAGGCCAGGTATGTGCTCTCCAGCAGGGAGAGAGGCGGGACAAAGGAGCCATCTGGGAACCAGCCATCCGTTACCCTCCAGAGATGCGCTTGTCAATCACTCAGGGCTGCACACCTATTTGGTTCTCGTCACTTTTACACCAAAACCCAGTCTTTAGCCCTTATATTTAACTTTGTTCTGTGAAAATTATGAAACCCAGACTTCTCCAGCTTCCACTTTGTTGCTTGAGATTATTTCATTGGTTCCGGTGGGGTCTGTGAATGTGTGTGGCATCTCTTGCTGCATGCTGAGTTATAATTGGGTGTCAACTGCCTGATTGTGGGTTGTGGGGAGTCAGGGCCTTGAATTTGGGTCCTCTGCAAGAGCAGTACACACTCTTAATCTTTGAGCCATCTCTCTAGCCCGAGACAGAGTCTTGTTGTAGCCGAGGCTGGCCTTGAATCCAGCTGTTCTCAAATGTGAGATCCTGCTGTCTCAGACTCCTCAGTACTGACATTACAGTTGTGTGCCAGCATGCTTAGCCTAAACTCCTTAGTTCAATGGATGGCATTCATTGATCATTTTTGCCTTAGCCAGATTGTATTATTGGCAATTGGAGGATGAGTTTTCTGTCATTCTGTTGTATTTATTAGCTGGAAATCTAAAAAGTGATTCCCTTATCTGCTATATCCTTTGGGAGGTGGAGGCCTGAGGATCAGCAATGTGAAGGTAGCCTGGTCTATGTGAGACCTTATCTCAAAAATAAAGCCCCTCTGGCTAGAGCGATGGATGGCGAAGTGGTTAAGAACAACAGATGCAAATCCCACCCCTCAGAGCTCAGGGAAGCCCGCAGAAAAGGAAGCAGAAAGAGTGTAAGAGCCAGAGAGGATGGAGGACACCAAGAAAACAAGGTCTTCTAAGTCAACGTAATTAAAACTCACATGAACTCACAGAGACCGAGGCAGCATGCACAGGGCCTGCATGGGTCTGCACCAGGTCCTCCGTGTGTACTTTATGGCTTCTAGTTTAGTGTTTTTAGGGATTCCTGAGTATGCGGATGAGTGTGTCTATGATTCTTACACCCTTTTTTCAGCTCTTTTCCTTCTGTTGGTTTGTCTTGTCCAACTTTGATGTGATAGTTCTTGCTTTATCTTATATTTTATTTTATTATATTTTATTATTATCTCTTAGAAGCCTGTCCTTTAATAGACAGAACGGGAGTGGATCTGGATGGGACGGGAGGTGGAGAGGACATGGAAAGAGTGGAGGGAAGGGAAACCATATACCATCAGTATATATTAGAGAAGAAAATAATCTATTTTTAATAAAAGGAAAACAACAACAACAACAAAACCAAACCTATAAATAAAAATTTTAAAGGAAACACTGGATGCTTTTCAGAAAATCTGGGTTCTAATCCCCCCCCCCCACACACACACACACTGTGTGGTAGCTCACAGCTGTCTTTAACTCCATTCTCAGGGGATCCAACACCATCTTCTGGCCATCTGCAGGCTTTGCACATAGGTAGTGCACAGACGTACGTGTAGGCAAAAACACTCATCCACACACAATAACAGAATGGTGTTGAGAAATGCATAGCCCCTAAACAGACTTGTAGCTGTTAAGCCTTGCCTCTTGAAGCAAGTGCAGATGAGCATGGCAGGCAGTTTCTTTGGGCACTGCCTCTGAGTCCCTGTGGAGAAAAGGAAAGCCTCTATGGCAGCCTGGGGGTGTGGGGGTTTGGGGGGGGCAGTGCTGGAGGAGGGGGAGAATGGATGGGAGTGGCACATTTTTGTCTTTCCAGCTGCTTCAAAGCTGCAGGCGGACGAGCTTCTGAGCCCCCCACCCTCACCCCCCCACTGTGTCTTTTCTTGCTGCAGACAGTGGAACTGTGATGTTGAGTTGCTGGAGCGGTATCGCCAGGCCCTGGAAACGGCTGTCAACCTCTCTACGAAGCACAACCTGCCCCCCATGCCAGGCCGGACCCTCTTGGTCTATCTCACAGATGTAAACGCCAACAGGCTCTGCCCCAAGAGTCACTCACGAGGGGTAAAGAAATAGAAGAACCTCTTCTAAGGGGCTGGCAGGGTGTAGGTAGGGTCTCGAGAGGACTTCGTTTCTCTCTGGTTCTCTGAGAGCCGCCACAGAAGCCGAAAGAAGTGGTGTGGATTTGCTTCCAAGTTGTTGTTTCCCTGGGATAATTTTAGTCAGTCTTGCTTATGCATCATAATACTAACGTTTCGAGTTTGGCTGGCTAAGAATGACCGCTAAATGTCTGTCCCAAGTGTATCTCCGACCCACCGTGCTGTGTCCCGGTATTGACTTGGGCAGGGATTCAGACGGCTTCCTGCTCCCCCCAAGTCCGGTTTTCCCAGATGGCTGCTGAAGGTGACCCCTCCAGAGAGACCCACAGCCCTTCTCCCCATTCCTCCAAACCTAGAGTTTGGCCTCCAGGGCTGGGCAGGCGAGGGTGGGTTCTAAAGTTTGACTTCCTGACGGAGCTTCTTTCTGTCAGCCTCCCCTGAACTACGTGCTGCTGTTGATCGGAATGATGGCAGCTCGGGCGGAGCAGGTGACGGTTTGGTTGTGTGGAGGAGGAGCTGTGAAGATACCGGTCCTTGAGACCGATGAAGGCATCCTGAAGACTGCCATCAAACTCCAGGCCCAAGTCCAGGTCAGAAGTGTACCCCCACTACCCCCGAAATACCTAAAGGACAGGAGCTGGGAGCCTCTCAAATAGGAAAGGCATGACTATCCACGCGTCACAGTGCACACCTGCAGTCCCAGCACTCAGGAAGCAGAGGCCGGAGAAAGGCAGGTTTGAGGTCAGCCTGGGATACATAGCTGTTTTTCTTTTTCTTTCTTTCTTTTTTTCTTTTTTCTTTTTTTTTTAAGAAGCATATATGTTGGGCATGGTGGCCCATGCCTTTAATCCCAGCACTTGAGAAGCAGAGGCAGGTGGATCTCTGTGAGTTCCATGTCAGCCTGACCTACATAGTGAGTTCCAGACTAGTCAGGACTACATAGAGAGAGACCCTGCCTCAGGAAAGAAAAAGGAAAAAAAATAATAAAATTAATAAAAAATACAAAAGAAGCACAGACATACATAACTTTGAAGATTTCTCAAATAAATTGACACTGTTTTTATTTTATTTTATTTTATTTTTTAGTTATATTAGCCTTTCATTGTCATAATGAAATGCTGGAGGCAGGCTAACTTTATAAAGGGAAGATGTTTATCTTGATCACAGTTCTCGAGGCTTGAGGGCGTGGCACTGGCATTGGCTGACTCTGGTGAGGGTCTCATGGCAGGTGGGGTGTGGAAAATACACGTGGAAGGAAAGGGTTGCACCCTGAAACAAGCTAGAGAGTAATTTCAGGCTCAAGTGTTTACAGCTTATTTTCGCAGAACCTCAGACTCGTGGAGAGTATGTTCCTAATAGCTAAGGACATCTCACTATGCCTCGCCTATCAATACGGTGGTCCGTGGTCCCCTCTTTCTATCTCACAGTGGGATCAGATTTCAACACACGAGCCCGTAGGGAATACCATCAAACTGCATCCAGGGCAGAGCATCTATGCTCTACCTCAGGCACAACCTTCTAACCCAAGTTTCTTTCCGTCAGGAGTTGGAAGAAAATGGTGATTGGTCCCTGGACACTTTTGGGAAACACCTGCTGTCCCTGGCTGTCCAAAGGACCCCTGTGAGTCCTACTCAGTTCCTATGAAACGCTCCCTGCTGGCATTTCCTCCACAGCCTGTCCTTCCTGTGTGTGGTCTCCTGTAGTAGAGGCTGGCCTTCCACGCCTGTTCTCCTGCCTCCACCTCCCAAGTGCTGGGGTCCCAGAGGTTCCAGATGTGCCTAGCTGCTTCTCATTTCTCGACCCTTCATCGTGACCTTTCCTACTTTGCAGTGTTCTTATCAGCTCACTGCTCAGTGTAGTCCCCCAGACAGGGTTGTGCAGTTAACGATAAATGAAAAATGAGAGTGTTTCTTTAATAACGCTTGGTAGTTTCCATAGTGTGAATTGTTTGACAGCCCTCAAGCTGCCTACATTATGTCACTAGATATAGAGCTGGGCAGAAATACTCAGCAGCTTGTCACTGCATTGTATTTCCACAGCACCGAGGTAATAGTGGAATGTAATAAGATAATTAGAAGGCAATGCATTTTGAGAATGTATTACCGTTGTCTTAAATATAATAGACATATTGTAGTGTTGAGAGTTGAGGTCACGGCAAGTGCTTCCCCTTGAACTATACCCATAAGTGAAGGCGGAGTTTTCCTCTGCCAACAGCTGCTCCCAAATAACCACTCAGGAACTTAACATAAATTATAAATGTTTGGCCGATAGCTCAGGCTTATTACTAACTAGCTCTTACAACTTAAATTAACCGATTTTTATTAATCTATGTATTGCCACCTGGCTCGTGGCTTTACCTGTCCTCTAGCATTATCTTGCTCTCTCTGTGTCTCCTGGTGACTCCACTGACCCCGCCCTTCTTCCTCCCAGCCTTCTCAGTTTGGCTGTCCCACCTGTACTTCCTACCTGGCTACCGGCCAGTCAGCTCTTTATTAACCAATGAGAGTAATATGTATTCACAGTGTACAGAAGGATAATTCCACAGCACACAAGCCCTTTATTTATAGAACTGAATGTTTTAAATGGCCATGTTGACTGTGGGCATGTAGAGAATGTACTTAGCTTAGCATGCTCAAGGCCCACACCAATAAATATAAAATAGCCAAGCTTAAGAACTGACTCACAGCCAGGCGTGGTGGCACACACCTTTAATTCTAGCAGAGGCAGGAGGATCTCTGTGAGTTCAAGACCAGCTTGGTCTACATAGTGAGCTCCAAGACAGCCAAGACTATATAGAAAGACCTTGCTCAAACAAAACAAAACAAAACAAAACAAAACAAAAAATAAAACCAACCAAACAAACAAAACTGTCTCACAAAATGAGTAATCATCTCTAATGGGCATGAATAGGCATCACAACACTGTGCTCCCCCCTCCCACTTCTTTTTATTTTCTTCCTGTCCCTGCTGTCCTGGCTTCTTTGATGCTACCCTAAGTTGGGGTGTAGTGGTGTGTCTCCTAAGCACTCGTAGGAGCTGCAGTTTCCTTTCCCCCTCGGAATTCTAACCCTTCAGTCTTTAGATGTCTTGATGCTCTGAGCTCATCCATGTCTATTCAAGCCTTGTTCCCTGGTCTCAGCCTCCTCTTTTCATCTTACAGGTTGACAGGGTCATCCTGTTTGGCCAACAGATGGATACCGAGTTGCTGAATGTAGCCAAACAGATGATCTGGCAGCATGTGAACCCCAAGTGCCTCTTTGTTGGTGTCTTCCTACAGAAAATCCAGTACATGTAAGGATGCTGGTCGGTCTTGTCCAGGGTCTGAAGGCAGTGATCCCTGTTTCCTGTCATCTCCTACCAAAGTCTTACTTACTTGAAACTTCCTGTCTCTTGCTTTCTTACTTCATTAATTCAACGGAACTTAAGTTTCTAGGACCTTCTTTGAAGTCTTTTTACCCCTTTGTGCTATTGAAAACTAGGCCCAGAGCTTTGTTCCTTCTAGGCAAGCATCCTACCACTGAGCTTACTCTGGTCACATAATTCTATTAAGACGAGACTGGGTGCACTCAGAGTGATATGGCTATAGATCACAAACCTATTATATAGAGACAAAGTGTATAGCTTAAGGTGTTGGGAAATAGACTCTAGGTCTATAGTCTGGCTTTGAACTTGCCATCTTCTTGTCTTCATAGGACAGGTGCTGGGACGGCAGGTATAATCCACCACACCTGGCTCCAGGCATCGATTTTGGTGTTTAGTGACTGCTTCTTCTTTTGCCAGATCACCCAATTTGAATCCCAATGATGTGATGCTCTCAGGCTGTACTGATGGAATACTGAAGTGAGTAGAGAGTGGGCATTAGAGGGGATGGAAGCTGTGTTAGAATGGCCTTAGGAGAGTCTCCATGCCTGTTAGCATTTACTTACTTTTCAAAATAAGATGGTTTATTTTCTGTCCCAGGTGTCTAGGCTTATCGGCAACACAGTGTGACAGGGATTCCAGTCTTCACTGATTTTTTGTTTTGTTTTGTTTTGTTTTGAGACAGGGTTTCTCTGCGTAACAGTCCTAACTGTCCTGGAACTCGATTTGTAGACCAGGCTGGCCTTGAACTCACAGAGATCCACCTGCCTCTGCCTCCCGAGTGCTAGAATTAAAGGCGTG